AGAAGCGTTAGGAAAGGAGGGGCTGATGCAGGAGAACGGAGGTTATCGGATGGTTTTATTTCCTCAAGCGTACGTGGATGTGGAGAGGGCAGCAGGAAAGGGGAGCAAGGTGCTGAAATAGCGTATGTGTTTTGAAAGCAGCTCTTGGTGTCCTGCCCCTGAGGACTCACTAAGCACATGGTATTGTACTTTGTAGTTTTTTTAAGAAGCACTTAAAGCATAAAACAGCCTTTACAATCCCTTTAAAACTCCGTTTTTGAGTACTATTAGACATTAGGGCCCAGTGAATGGAAGAGGTTTCCCCACCTGCTCAGGAGTCCTGTTAGCATGCAGAAAACTCAGTACCGTAACTAGGGGTTGTGGAGATCTGCAAACGTGTAATGCACATCCCGTCTGAGATTTCTAGTGTTGTGATTATTTCTTAACTGGACATAAGCCTTTAAAGGCAGAAGGAGTCATGTAATGACTAACTTCAGTGAATTGTACAGTGATGACAGAGGAACTTGTAAATACTGAAGGGCATATAGTTTGTTTTTTGCTAGTGCTGCTGTCCGAAGCCTTGCTGGGGAACATTTTGCATCGTTTATGTGGAGCCAGCTTGGCTCCTGTAAGTGTATATCTGCGCGTTTTCCTATGTTTTCTTCTACTCCAAATGCTAAAGTGTTCTCAATGAGCGCTGCAATTGAACGTGGCTCTTAGACGGCTTCAAATGCTATAGTATGAATCGTATGTTAAAACTGAGTGTGTCATTTTAAGGCATAGTCTTTTTGGCCTGTTTGCTCATCTTGTGGGTTTGTCTTCAGTCTTGTGTGACGGGCCTTCTTGGTGACTGGGCTGCTGGGAATTGCAATTCAGTAATACGGTCGTGGGGTGCTGAAAACAGAAGTGAAGAGCTACGTTGCAAAATCTCAAATCCTAAAAAATGATGCAACTTAAGCCTGTAAGTGTGCATACCTTCCCTCATGAACATCTTTACCAACAGCTCCCAGAGGAGCCACAAGCAGTGGATTTGGGCAAGATGTGGTGCGGGGATGTTATCAGTGAGGAGGTTTTCACAAGCGCACATTGTGTGTGTATGAGAGAGCACCATGAGAGAGCAATCGAGCAATGGGGAAGCTTTACTTACGTTGTTTGGGAAAGGGAGGCAACCCACAGCTTTCTCTGGGACTGCCTTTTGCTGCTTGGGAAGAGCTGTTGTTGCTGTATCAAGTGATTAACTTTGAAGTTTGGGAGACTTTTGTTGTTTCTTCTTTTAAGTCCGGTTTTTTAACAATTATCACCCGCTAGCTGAAGACAACCTGTTTGGCAGAATAACTCAGTCTTTGCTGATGAAACCCAAGGGGGAGTTTTGGTGGGGGATGCTCTGGAGAGAGTCCAGAGGGATAGAAAACGTGGCCTATGAGGAAGGAGTAACGGGGTTTATTTAGACTAGAGGTGGCTGAGAAACGATGTGTGTTTTTTCAGATATGCTAAAGGTAGCTGCAAAATGGGAAAAAAAAAAAACCTTATTCTCGCCAACTGCTGGGATCAGGTTGCAAGAGGTAACAAACCTAAATCACACGGGAGACTTAAGTTAGGCGTTGGAGGTGTGGGATTCTTCCATGTGCATTCTGCACCACTGGAGGTTTTGAAGACCAGGTTAGATGAATACACGCTGGGACTGGTTGAGATCTGAGCCCTGAACACGTCCATCCTTTGAGAGAAGAGTGGCACTCTTGCCCTGTTTCCAAGCCCTGCTAGAAAAGGACATCCTCCTTCACGTTCACATCAAAGGCAACGTACTCTTCTCCCTGTAAGCCAGAGAGAGGAACAGAGATTCCCTTCCCTCTCCCGTCTGGCTGCTGGAGGAAGAGAGATGCCACCGCTCTTTGCTTCCCCTTAGCCCTCTTGGTTTGTTTTTCCTGTGTCTCTTTTCCCACTGCTTCTTTCTGCTGGGGCGTAAGCTGTGCTAGGGTATCTGGAGGTGAAGCGAGGACCACGTTAGTATGCGTTCAGAGCTCTCCCTCAGTATTTTAAATAGGGTCTAATTTCTACTTGGCCCTCTAGATCAGGAAGAGGACGTTTCTTGCGTGAAGCGTGAGTAGATTTCCAAAGCCCTTGTAGCAGCAGTATTTAAAAGCTGATTCAAGTTATTGTGTCGCTAGCTGTTGTGGCAGTCTTGTGACAGTCCATGTGCAATGACCTGATCCTCTCTGTCTTTTTGAAGATGAGCACATCATGGACCGTGTACTTTTGTGTGCGTGTGTGTGTGTGTGTGTTCTTTTGTGTGTGTGTGTGTCCTTTCTGAACCAAAGTGCAAATTTGTCAGCATCTAGTTTCATACCACGTTTGTAGGTTATCCTTGGTTAGAAAGGCTTCTTCCCACCCCCCTCTGGCCCAGCTTTGACCTTTCAAATAGGGTGAAAAGATGTACGAGATCCCAGGAGCAATGGAAAACTTAGATGGCCACGGATGTAAGCCAAGAGGATTGGCATTGTATGTGGTCCACGTCCTGCTTAGGTGGAACTGCAAGAGTTGCTGAAGCAGGGCCCGGGGTTTGCACAGAGCTAGTTACACTCACCTCGTCTCTTTCATTACTCTGGGATTTAAAACTGCTCAGTTATAGCTACCAAGCTAAAAATTAGTACACCTTTTTAAAGAGTAATCGATAAAGGCTGTGGAGTGCCTTTGTCATCTGACGTCTGTGATTTCAGTGTCGGTGACACGTGGTTTGTGACTGCTGACCCAGACAAGAAGTTCAGTGCCAGTGAGTCGCTGCTGTGCTTATTTCACCAAAGCTGTGATGCCCACTGAGACTCCTCCTTCTCCCCACCCCTGTATTGCTTGATGTTCCTAGTAGCTGTAATCAAATGGTAGATTATAACAGTGAATGTATTTAAATTTAAAACTCCGTCGTTTTGGTGGCTGCACTGTTTGTTGCTCGTAGAGAGGTTCGTTCTGAGCCAGGTAACTTGTCGGCTGGTGTCCTGCCCCGGTCCTGCAGTCCAGGCTGTGCCAGCACCAGGGGCTGCTGCAGTCCACCTGCACTGAGCTAGCCAAGGGAGGGGAGGGGTAACTTTGGTCTTTGGTCAGGGCCTGTATTAATGCTCTAGCAAAATCAGTGTGGGGCTTTCCCTTGGACACAGACTAGGCCTCCTTGGGACTAACAATTCATTTACTATGAGTCAGGCACCTTTAGTCCTTGTTTTATGTAATAAAAGCTACAGTTGATCATATAGCCTTTTTTTAAAAGCCTCTTTTTATTCTGTCGGGTATTTGGGGCTGAACTGTCTGCCTGGGTTTAAATATGGGGATCCTAGCTGACAAAAAGACTGCGTGTGTGATGTTAGGTTTGGGAGCGGGTGCAGGAAGGGTTTGGTCATCTGGCCTATGCCCCTACAGGGCCAGTTCTAACTCTGTGTGCCATTGAACTCAACACAGGTACGGCTCGCAGGTCATGGAGAAGGTTCTCAAGATGGCTGAAGGCATTGATATCGGGGAGATGCGGACATTCGAGTTGGTCCCCACTAGGAAACTGAAAAGACATCTCTCTCCGTCTGACAGTGAGTATATTTGCTTGTGTGTCAAGGGAGGCACCTTTCTCTGTTGCTGTTTGACGTGTGTGCTGGGAGTCTGGGGCGAGCGCCTACACCACACGGCCACCTCTGACCAGCTCCAGCATGGCAGACTGAAGAAAAGCGGCCAAGATATACTCTCTGAGATTGCAGCTGTTTCCCTTCCTCTGCCCTGTTGTGAGGTGTATATAATTCATGCAGAGTTCTCTTTTTGCTTAAGGAATTCTCATATTTAATTGAAATTACCATGTGATTATTTTTCCTAATGATAGCGTTAGGGAACTAGGCCTTTGTCATTAAATAGGGCTGTCTGTCCTCTGTTGCTTTAGTGAGGAGTGACGTTCTTACTTGAGAAGGGACTATATTTGTGCATGAAGATGGGAATTCAGTTTATTGATTTTGAAAGAGGACCTGTGTGGTGCATGGGCAGTGGTTTGGTTTTTGCAGTGGGCCTGGAAGCATCCCACATATCTCAGCCCAGGGCCGTGGTCTCGGGGATCAATGTCCCAGTTGCTGCTTTTCTGGCAGAAGAAATCTGGGGCTGAAGAGGGCTGGCTGTTCTGCAGGTCCATCCACTGCCGCCTCCTCTCTAGAGCCTTCAGAGTTGGCTGCTCTGTCTCAGGAGTGGGTAGGGGGGATGATTCATGCGTGCAGGCTGTGCGTGTGAGCATGCAGGCCTTTCTTTGTGAGGCAGGGTCAGTTAATAGTTCAGCTGTTAAAAACAAATGGTCAGGCAGCACAGAAGTCTCCTCTAGGCCTAGGTGTAATCCCTGGCTCTGCCAAAGTTTCTTCTCATGCTTTGATACTCCGGTAATCTTTCTGAGCTTCTATGTCTCATTTGAAAAATAGAGAAAAATATTACTTTTCTCCTATGCTTTGGCTCTCTTCTTTAGACAGCGGCTCTGTGGGGAAGGGCTTTCTGTTACGTGCTATGCACGCAGCGTGAAGAGCTGTTCTGCTGGTGAGAACTTTTAGGTGCTGCTGCAGTGCAATCATCAGAATAGCACAACTGAGAAGGAAATGTAAACCTTGTCATAATTAATCGAAACTGTGACAACCGAAGAATTTAACCCAAGCGCAAGAGCACTGTCACCTGATTTAAATATCAATGCCTATTTTATGCTATATTTGAAGTGCCTTTTTTCATCTGCAGTGGAATAAGTTATGATGACTATGCTGCAGTAGTATGATGTCTAGACAGATGTAGACCTATATTATTACAGTCCCACATATTGGCATTGGATTAGGCAGTTCATTCCAAGGGGTTGAAGGTGGCCTTTTGCTCCCCTCATGAAATCACGTGCGTGTAGCGCTTTGCGGTGTGGGAGCTAAATCTTTTACAGCGTTTAAGTAGAAGTCTTGTATAGCCCTCTTCTAGATGTAGCATATTTGCTTATCAGCTGTTTGATTCTCATTTTTGGCAGTAGTTGTGTATATCAGAGTATCGTGCCTTATTTACATTTCCCCTGGTTAAGAAACAAGGGGTTTACCAATAATTTGGCCTACTGCCGGCCACTGCAACTCTCCTGGGGCTCAGGTGGATTTTTCCATGTTTTGTATTCATTTAGTCAAGACTCGTTGCTTCTGTTAACACTTTCATCAACAGCCCTGTGCCTTTTGGAAAGGAGTTTTCAGTATTGCTGTGTTCTCCCATAACATGAGAAGAAGACCTGAAGGAAAGTAGCAAATTTGAGATAATCCAGCAGCCCTGTGGCAGAGCCGGAGCTGAGGCTCTTGTCCTGCTTGGGTATTCTGTCCGCTTGGCCATGGTTTTTGCTTGTGGATTGGATTGGATTAACTTCAGGAATGACTGAATGAGTTCACTGGGCAATGTTGGAGGACAGAGCAGGTGATTCAGACCTGAAATCCATTTTCTAATTATGCAGAGATTTTTGCGTGGCAGTTGTGGAGTCAGACATATCTCTGTAGTGACCTGCACAAGCATGAATAACCTACCATAATCAATGGCAAATGTTTTCAGAAATAAGCCTTTTATTTTGTGGCTAAGAAGCGGGAATCCTGCGTTTAAAGCCTGCAGGCTCTTCCTGGAGAACCTTCTGAAAACCTTGTCTTCCTGTTGTAGCGTGTTTTGGTGATCTTGTAATTTTCCTCCATCCACAGGTCCAGAGCCAGAAGAGATTCCCGAGCCTCCCAAAAAGATGGTCCCCAAGTTTCGGGTACGACCACGTTTTGAACCCATTCACTTTGTAACCAGTGCTGAGAAGGATGGCAAGAAGGAAGATTCTTCCGATAACCAAATGCAGGAGGTGAACCAGGAGGCAAATACGAACAGCGAAGCACAGCCAGCTGAAAATTGTCCGAGCTCTCCTTTTGAGAGCACCCAGGAGGTGGATCCCCAGCTCTCCAACTTAGCTGGGCTTGGCTTTGCGAGCCAGGCAGCAACAACCAATATGGCTGTGAACAGTATGGACGCTACCACAAGTGGCACGGTACAAGTTTCCGTTTCCCCTTCAACTGTCCAGTCTTCATCAGAGACTTTCCCCCCATCAGCTATAGTACTGAAGCAGGCTTTTATTGAGAAACTCTCAGCAGCTATCTGGAAAAATCTTGCTAACCCAGATGCAAATACTGGGACCGATAAGATTAACTATACGTATTTGTTGACACGTTCAATTCAGGCGTGCAAGACGAATCCTGAATATATTTATGCTCCTCTCAAAGAAATTGCCCCCGCTGACCTCCCCAAGAGTAAGAAGCTCTTAACAGATGGCTTTGCTTGCGAAGTACGATGTCAGAACGTCTACCTGACCACCGGTTATGCTGGCAGCAAAAACGGATCCAGGGATCGAGCCACGGAGTTGGCAGTCAAGCTGCTCCAGAGGTCTGTGGAAGTTAGAGTTATTCAGCGGAAGTTCAAGCACACCTATCATGAAGACTTGGTGGTGTGTGAGGCAGGCGTGAGTCGCCCAGATTTCCCTCCTGCTCTCAAACTTCATGATGAGTTTGTAGCTGCCAACAGGGACTGTGTCCCAGCGCAGCCTGGTACTGAAGCCATGAAAACTCCTACTAATACCAGCAAACACTGGACTAGTTTTGTCCTCACGGAGAATGCTAGCGATGCCATCGGGATACTTAACAATTCTGCCTCGTATAACAAAATGTCTGTTGAATATAAATATGACTTAATGCCCAACCGCACATGGCGTTGTCGAGTGTATCTGCAGGATCACTGCTTAGCCGAGGGATTTGGCACTAAGAAGACCAGCAAGCATGCAGCAGCTGATGAGGCATTGAAAATTCTGCAGAAGACGCAGTCGAACATGACAGCCATCAAAGTGACCCAGGTTCAGAAAGTGGGTTGCTCATCACGGGGCTCTGGAAGGAAGAAGGACCTGAAGGACCTTGTGGTTTATGAGAACTCCAATAATCCAGTGTGTACGCTAAATGACACTGCTCAGTTCAACAAGATGACGGTGGAGTATGTCTTTGAAAGGATGACTGGCATGCGATGGAAATGCAAGGTGCTGCTTGAAAACGAATTCATCGCAGAAGCAGTTGGAGTGAAGAAATCCGTCAAGCATGAGGCAGCAGAGGAAGCTGTGAAAATCCTCAAAAAGACTCAGCCAACTGTTGTTAATAACCTGAAGAAAGGCACCATTGAAGATGTCATCTCCAGAAATGAGATTCAGGGTCGATCAGCAGAAGAGGCTTTCAAACAGAAGATCAAAGAAGACAATATTGGGAATCAAATTTTAAGAAAGATGGGCTGGACAGGTGGTGGCTTAGGAAAAGATGGCGAAGGAATTAGAGAGCCTATTTCAGTGAAGGAGCAGTTTAAAAGGGAAGGACTCGGGCTTGATGTAGAAAGGGTGAACAAAATCGCTAAAAGAGATATCGAACAGATAATTCGAAACTATGCACGCTCTGAAAGTCATATTGACTTGACTTTCTCTACAGAACTTACCAATGATGAGCGGAAGCAGATACATCAGATTGCCCAAAAATACGGTCTTAAAAGTAAATCTCATGGGCAGGGCCATGACAGATACTTGGTGGTAAGCAGGAAGCGGCGCAAGGAAGATCTATTAGACCAGCTGAAGCAAGAAGGCCAGGTTGGGCATTATGAGCTTATTATGCCTCAAGCAAACTGAGATTATGGTGTCCAATTCTACAGGTGAAAGTATGATGAGACTGAACTTCTAGATCCCTAATTAAAGAAAGAGATGCTGCATTTTCTTCTTGTGGGATATGTTAACATTGAAATGTTTTACTTTGCTCATATAATTTCTAAAATGTTACTAGACAATTAGAACTGACACAGTTCTGTTCAAGTATAGTAGCACAGCCCACAAAACAATAGTGCTGTTACTGTATGTGTCTTTGATATTACTTGTTCCTTCACATTTTAATAGTTTTGTAATAGCAAAAACACATGTCCAACCAGAAAGCATTTGACGCCACTTAAAATTATAGATCCCTTATTCTTTTTGACTGAGGAAGGAAAAAATTGCCTTTTTTTACAAAAAAATAAAAAAAGAAGAAAAAGGAAAAAAAGCAAAGGAAATGCAGTTTGGAGGAATAAACCTGTATGTAAAGTGGGTATTAATGACAATAAAAATACAGTTTTATTTCTGGAAAAAAAACCAAAACAGGATTTGTCACATTTTGTACAAATTTTGTGTGAAACTGTATTTACTCTTGAGAAATATATAGCAAGCTCTTGTCTCTGCTCTGAATGTATGTAGCGAGATGTCCTCAACCAATTTAACAATAGAGTTTTATTCATAGAGTTCTACCTTGAATCTCCCATACTGAGAATTATTGAATGCACCTTAGCCACCCGTGTGTTGGACTTGGATCTAATTCCAGTGCATTTTTACCTTGAAGCACTGCTTGACATGTGCAAATACCGTGGTGAAGTGTGAAATATAAAAACTGGAGGTAAATGCAGAACCCACGCATCAAAGATGCTTGTGTAGCTTGTGGGGACTGTTATATAACTTATTTTTTTACTTTGAATATAAGCTCTTTAATCCTGAGCAAAATCAAATCTGTGCCTAATTATTTCTCTGCTCCGTTAATGTACCTGTGCTTGTGTATGTCGAGGGAGATTCGCAAGTAAACTTTTCTGCTCTTGCTCTGACGTGCAGTGTGAGTGTGGCATCTCTCCAGGACCGGTGCGCTGCCAGAGGTCTAGACCAGTCCTCTTGCCCTGGGAAGCAAAAGCCGGGTCTCTGCCTGTTGCCACTTCATCAGCGGTGCCGCAGGAAGGGCCGACCCTCGTGTGCCTTGCAGGAAAGCTGGCTTCCTGCTTCAGAAATGTGGAGGGCAGGAATCAACCTTGGAAGAGACAAGTTGAAAACTTGATGTTAAGGTTTTTTTTCTGTTACCAGTAGGGTCTGCTAATGAGTCTTTAGCGCAGAGCCAGCTGGTGAAGTCAACCTTGGTGACTTATTCCTCTTTATCTGTTCTCCTGTTGGCTTGTGTCCCAGCTATTGCTTTTGTTCCTTTCCTCTGCCCATGCCTGCCTCTCCATCTTTTTGCATCATCCTCCCGGTTGTTTGCACCTCTCATACTGCTTGCTTTTTTTTGTTTTTTTAATACCCTTGGCTTTGAAGAGAGGGCGAATGACCCCGTACTGATGAAGCAGAAGATCGTGGTGATGTGCAGTTGCAGGCATTTGCATCCCACCGGTGCAAAAAGGAAGAGGCTGCCCTGGAAGACCGGCAGTTACAGGTAAGGCTCGCTCAGGAAGGAACAAGCATTCCCTCCTCGCTGTAATTAGATGGCTTCAGCACGGCTTCTGCGGGCTTGAGCCTCTCAAATAGAATCATGCTGATTGATGGTGTCTCTGAAGAGAAATGACCTGGCAGTAATTCTGGAAGTATTTTCTTTTTATTTGTGCACTATTCCCTCTCAGCTGCTGAATTCTGCTCTCAGGGACTCTGGACTACAGCAGATGGTAATGTAGGAGTGGAAGAAGCCTGGTACTTTTATAGCTAGGCAGCTATTCCTGCAAGCAGGCGGAGTGTAGCTCCCCCTCCCTAACTGCTGGTTATTCAGCAGGGCTTCAAAATTTGGTGACGCCAAGAAAGGTAGCAAGAGCACCAGTGCCATGTTTGTAAGGTAGCTGTCCTCTAGCCGTTTACAAGAGGAATGACAAATACCCCAGTCTGATTGGGGTTTGGGGGGGGGCTGAATAAATGTAGTGACACCTCAGCAAAGGTGCTTAGCTGTAGTGCTCTGTGCTGGGAGTTGTGTTCATGTCCCAGGTAGCAACCTTGCCTCTTATCCATAAGTCTTTGCCAAGGTGGTACCTTAGTAC